CCCTCTACTGGAGGTCCTTTCCCTCCAGTCAATGTCAGAGGTGATCCCGCCCTGGGTCAATTCATGGACACATCAGACACATCGGGAGGGCAACATGTCGACGGTGTGCGATGTTCTCAGAAAGTTGGGGAGGTTACGTGATGTTGGCTATCACTATGGCCTTCCGCATGAGAAGGACGAGGAGGTATGCTGGATACGGAAGATAGAGGCGGGTTGCGTAGACCTCGTGCGTTGTACTTTCAGTGAGTCGAAGTCACAAGGATCTTATGTCACAGCGTCTGACCATTGCGTTCTGACAGAAAACAGCGCGTTGGAATACCGAGAGGGAGGGTCCGCGAACATCAATGGATGGCGGAAGGGTGTCGACGGGGAATGGAATTGTATCGTGAAGACCTGGCCATGGCGGGAGGATTGAGCTGGAGTGTGGGGAAATTCTGATCATATGGTAGTTGACTGGGAGCTATGTTTGCGAAGAGGTAGTCCTGAAGTTGACTGGCGGGAATCCGGACAGGGAGGAAAGGGTTAAGAGCACGAGGGGATACGATCACCAATTGCTCAAGTTTCATACGACGTTGACGTGCGAGCGCGCGAGCCGGCTCAACATCGGATGGAACTTGAGCTATATGATGATCGTATCGGCTCATGGTTGTAATAATTGATACTATTCTGAATGTCAACAGTTCGATCGTCATGCGTGAGCTTTGCCGAGGAGTGAAAGTGTAGAATAGATATATCATTTTCTTTACGGGAAGTCGATCACTGGTGACTGCGGGTTATGTAGATATGAGCGTCCCGTGATGCATGAATGGATGAATCTTGAGCGTTTGTACGGTATTTTTAGAGAAAATGCAGACCTGCGTTCAGCAGCCCGACAAGTATCTCTTGAGTACTTCCGAGGGGAGTCAACATATAATATATAGAAATTATTTGGCAATGCATGTAATGGAGTTCAAGTAGTGGTTCCCCGGTCGTGATCGATGTGTGGTGCCACGCAAGATCCGTTCAGGACGGATATTGGTGCGCAGCAGGGTACATCCACAGAAAAGAGGAGGCGAATTGTACTAGGCGTGAACATCGAAAACGTCCTGGACGGATATGGCGCGCCGGGCGAGACAAGTGTGGCCGTCTGAGAACGCACGGATGACGGATCGAGCTCCGGTGCCAACAGCTGGTCTGGTACAACGAAATGAGGCAAACGTAAGATCCGTCCAGGGCGGATAGTGCGCGCATGGGCATAGACCTTAATCTGAGCTCAACCAAGTCAAGCGTGAGGCGCGCATTATCCGTCCAGGACGGATTCCGTGCGCATGAGGGACACGGCGCACAACAATCACGCGCGCATGGAGCATATTATGCTGTCACTAAAGGCAGGTCTCAGGCGCGCATTGTCCGTCCCAGACGGTTTTCGGCCCAGCCACTCGGTAAGAGGCGATGTGCTCAGAGTCGGACACCCTCCCTACGCTCGGGGCCTGCATAGGTCGCCCATTCCGTCTTGGACGGTTTCCCAGTTCCTAAGTGTGTCTGCCGACGCCATCCAGCACAAATATTTCATGCGACGTCCGTCAAATCCGTCTGGGACGGTTTCTGCTCCGCCAGAGCCGTTCACGCAGGCCCAATCAACACTCAAGCTCTCAAACAAGATCATGTAGACCGTCCTACCCGACACGACTACAACCAGACAAACGACTACGGCAACCGGACAAACGAGATCAGCCGGACAAACGTCAACGCAAACGCTACAAAATTGGAGTCCATCTCCGTAATCCCGCCATCGACCCGCGACACTGCATCAACCGTACTAACACCGACATCTCGACCCTCCGCGACAGTACCGAGCTCACAAAGTCCTATCACACCGCAAGAAGTCCATGACCATCCGCCTCAACGAGCTCGACCGTCCTTCCGGGACTTGCGCTTCATCTTGTCGCGCGCCACCGTCTCCGCCGCCGATCCAGGCCTCTGCGCCGGTTCCTCTCCCGCATCCTTCCGCCTCGGGCCACGTTTAGTCCGAACTTCGGCGGACTTGATTTTCGGCGGGGCCATCGCGTATCTTCCAACGGCATCATCAGACCCAACGGCATCCTCGGACCCGTCCTCTTCATCGGACCCGTCCTCTTCATCGGACGCGGGTTTGCGGCGCTTAACAGAGCGCTTGCCCTCGGTGGACTTTTTGAGACTGGCGCCGCTCGATCCAGCTGCGGTGGACGAACCCTCCTGAGGTGCTTTGCCCTCACGGCGTTTCCCGGGTTTGACGACCGGCTGCTCGTCTTCTTCAGTACTGTCGGCGGGAGCAGGGGTTGGCGTCAACGACGAGAGTCGACCTGTCGCGTATTTCATCAGCGAGCCTTCTAAGGCAAATGATTAGACACCTACTTCCGGACAAAAAGGAGTCATGTTGCGGCTGCGTTGGAAACGAGGTAATCTCGCTCTGCGCCTGAGTTGGCGGCGCAGTGAATTCCTCGATGGGGTCGAAGTTGCCGGACCCACCGGCATCGAAAAACGGCTCTTCAGGTAAGAAGCTGTTATTCCCCACAGGGGAATTGAAGGCCGGGGAGTGCGGAGGGTGAACAGGGGGCGACGGCGCGCGAGGTGTCGACATGCGGGGAGGCACTGTGGCAGGCCCTGGGCGAGGAAGCGGGATGGTAGAGGGAGCTCCTGCAGGCTCGGTGGAGCCCTTAGACATGGCCTTCTCCAATTGCAAGGCCAACCTCTCCACATCCGCCGACGAGGTGATCTCGGACCGAACTCGCTTTGGTGGAGGCTGGGGTGGCGATTGTGGTCCAGATCCTGGCGGCGCTGAAGTCCTCGCCCGCTTCGACGTGATGTTCGAAGATTGCTTGTCGATCTCCATCGGCTCGCCGGAGGGTGCGGGGTCCTTGGCCCTGGGGCCAGTCGAGACAGTGGCGGGCCCTGTAACTTGGTGGCCCAGTGGACCGGGACCAGCATTACCCTGCGCAGTCCCCATCCCTTCACCCGTCACAGGCGACTTCGTCGCGACGGGGCCGAGGGGGGCGGCCTGCTGTGTCGCCGACGAAGCAGCGGGAGCCTTCTCTTTGGCCGTCTTCTCCGGTCGCTCGGAGGCTTTCCCTCTGGTAGCACGTGACGGGCCCGCGGAAGATGAGTTGGCCGCAGGGATTCGCTTCGCGGGTGCCTTCCCGGCGGACTTACCTTTCGCCGCACTCTTCCCCTTGGCCTTGGAAGCCGCGCGAGTCTTCTTTCCCCTGGGCTTGTCGTCTTCGGATTCGGCCTCTGAGTCCTCAATCGTAACTTCTTCCTCCTGATCGCTCTCCGGCTCATGGGTCAAATTTGCGTGCAGTGCCTCTGTACCTAGGTCAGTAGCCGGTCACAGGAGGATAAACAAAATAACCCACTCAGCGCAGATGACGTCATCAAGAACGCGTCGTACATCGTGCCCTTCTTGAACGAGATGGAGTTGAGATAGACGTCGGTCGTCCTCTCCGCAATCGGGCGGTATACATGGACTGGTTTTGCCTGCGGAAAGCGCCAGCAGCGACCGATGAGTTGTTGATCGTCGCTGGAGGACCATAAGCAATCCTAATGATATTTGTTAGATACATTTCCGGTCAGAATCAACTGTACGCACCACAACGATGATGATGTTCGCGGCCGAGATATTGTGCCCGTATAACCCGACCTTCGACATGAGCAACACACGTGCTCCATCAGGTCCGGCGTCCGCGAATCGGCGAAGGATCTCGTCTTTCTGCTTCGCTGTGGCCTTCCCTGTCATCTCCTCGAACTTGATGTTGTGGGCCTTGAGGAGTGCCCCCCACTGTGGATAAGCTGCGACAAACGCGAGATAGACGATGATCTTGTCCCGGGGAAGAGGCCTTCCGGACGGGCCCAACGGCGTCGGCGTCCAGTTGTAGGATTCGTCCTCCACGAGAGTGATCCGGCTGTCGTTTGCCGGGTCTGGAATCGATACCGGCTCCGTCGAAATTTCCTCCTCGGCCTCGTCGACAGGGTTCTCGGCCGGCCTCCATGTGATTTTCGAGGTGTCCACCTTGAGCGGGCGTTGATTGTCGGCGTCGAGGTGGTGGCGGAGCAGCGCGAGGACCATATCCATTTTGAGGGAGCGATCCGCATCGTACTCAGCAGGGACCTTCCACCGTCCATGTTCCCTGCCTTTCGGATACTCGACGGCCTTGTTGAAACATGGGTGTGCGAGGCACTGCCGGTAGATGAGATAAAACGCCTCCTGCAACGAGTGTAAGCAATTGACGAAGATGGAGATTCTGAATGACTTACGCCATTCTTCTTCTTCTTCTCCTCCCGAGCGGCAACCAACAACTTCCTCGTCGTGTTTTCCAAGACCGCGGCCTCACGTTCGTACAAGGGGGCCTCGAGAGCGTGCTCCTGATACCGCGTCATACCGGAGATTTCCTTGCCGGTGTTGTCGGTGGAGAACAAATTCCGGCGGATGACGTGACCCCGGAGATTGTCGCGCATGACTTGGAGATGGGTAAGAGCCGTCGTGAAGGTGAAGTCGATCGTCGCATTAACATTCTGTCCGCGAGCCCCGGCGACCAGCGATGCACCTTCACCTTTGACCCGCTGCGTGTCGTATCGGCGCGCGCGGGTCAACTCGAGGTTCATTGCTTGGTAATTTGCCACGTCGTTGGTGCCGGTGTACTCGGGGATGGCCAGCAAGCGGGCGAGATTCCATAGATCCTGTGCGGATTGTCAGTCCTGGCCCGGGGGAAAATGCTATCAGACTTACATGGACGGTGTTCACGATGGGCGTGGCAGTGAGCGCAATGCCAAGGCCGGCGCACTTCACGAGTTGCGCCATCGCCATCCACCTCTTCGTCGGCTTGCGATAATCGTGGGCCTCGTCGATCACGGTGAGATTGTATTGGTACCAAAATTTAACATAGGTAAGTTAAACTAGTTTTCAACCGTTTTGTCCAAGAATTGGCCAGGTGATAGCTATACCCCTCCTTGATACCGTCCCAAATTTTCTAAGGAATTGGCGGAACCGTTTTTGAGCTGTTCGTCGTGTAAGACAGTGTGTAGAGTCTGAGTGGCCACCGGCAATGCGCGGCAGACGCGCCGGCATTTGCCGGTCAACTCGAAGATTCAGTGGCGTGCTGTGGCGTCCACTTGTGCATGTCATTCCATATATATGTACTGATCGAATTACGATAGTATGCACATTGTCCTCACCTAAGATTGTATTCTTATGTACCATATCTGCTCAGGAAGTTGTGTGATCATATGTTTGTACATTAAAACAGCAAGATGAAGGAGTTACAGAGACTATGGCTATGCTAGAGATGATCGCCCTTGGCAGGACACCGGATAGACACATGACCACAATCAGAGCGCTCAGTTTTCAACACAACAGGACCCCACAATGCTTCAGAAGGATCAGGACT